TTTTCACTCCGAGTGATTTTCAATTTTAAGAATTTTTACTATAAACATCACTGTTTCTGACTACTTTTTTTTATTATAACATCCTGATTTCTTATTATATAAATATGAATAGTTATTTTTGTTGTAAATTTGTGACAGTTTACTCATTCAATTAAAAATACAATAAAATTATATAAATTTTCGTTAATTATATTATTTCACAGTTTTTAAGAACCTTCTCCTTAAATATTGTTAGTACAATTTATTTAAGAAATAAGGTTAACAATAATAATATTAAGACATGTCAGGAATGGAATTTATTTTTCTAGTATTGTTATCAGTTTTTTTTTGTCCTCTCTTGTCAAAGGTTTTTCTCAATTTTCTTTGTGCAATAAAACCACCAATAAATTATTTGAGAAAGTTTGTGTTATATAATGACTTTCGTTTTTAGTGCTTTTAACATGTACTCTTAATTTTCTAACCATAACTACAGTCTTTATGCGCTTTACTTCTGTAGTCGCATTTTGCCTTTAGAAAATATTTTATTTACTTCTGTAGTCGCATTGTGCCTTAGAAAAGAAAGGGATAAATAATAACAAATTACTTATCTTATATTTTTATTTTAAATAAAGATAGAAAAATAAATGACGAATGAATTGCACGGATCTCACTTTAATACGAAACATCTTAAAACAAGAAAATTAATAACAGTGAGAAAAAAAAAGTTCATATGAAGAAAATCTTCAAAATATTATACTTTTATAGTTTCATCCATAAAATTGTATGGTATTAATGATGTTTACATAATTGTTAGGAAATAGTGTATAAATGATTAGGTAGCTTTACATAACATATTGCAATTTAAGGATCTTAATAAACTATTTATAGTTCGTAATTGATATTATAGATCTAAAATGTATACCCATTGCATGTATTCACATAATTAATTATATTTGTACATTTCTTTTATATAGAAATCTTATACACGAGAAATGATTAGGACAGAATTAATCTTGTACATACTCTAAAGAGAATTAGACTTTGTGCATAAGGAAGGAAGGGAGAATTACTTTAACATAAAGATCATGAAAGAACATTTTTCAAGAGGCATTAAAACCAATTAACATTGTTTTCTTTTTCTCTCTAAATCAATCTGTACAATTACAAATTTTACATCCATTTCTCGTTTATTTTATTTAATCATAATAATTTAACTTTCTAATTTTTTTTTCTACTCTTTCATTTCCATCATTTCATTCAAACAAGGGTTAAATAGCAGTTAATTAGAAATAATAAACACTACAGCAGTTACACACTCGTAATCTTAAAAAGATGATTTTATAGAATCATTTTTCATTCATATTGATGAAAAATATTTATAAAAATAAAAAAGATAATATGAAAGATAATAATATATCTCTACCACATATAAATATATTGAAAAACTATGTACCCTTTTTATTTCAAGTTTTATAGCAAGAAAGCTCTAAAGGTTCTAAAATAATAATTATTGAAATGGTTTCCCAAAACTAAAAAAATTGGGCAAATTCTTCCCGCAACCCCATATTTTTAGTCATGCACTCTTGAATATTAAGCTTTTTATTTTTAAGTAAAAAATATATTTTAGATTTATAATTTGAAAGTAAAAAATATTTGTTATTTTTTATTTCTGAATTATATAATTCGAAAACCATTTTTTATTTTTGAATCGTGAAATCTAAAAAAAAAAAAAATTAAACATTAAGTTTTAGAATATATAATTCACATATCTANAACTTAACTTATATGTTCTTAAGGACTCTTATATGTGAATTTATCTGCGAATATAATCACTATTTTTACCTGCAAATTTACCTGCGAATATAGAATATAGATCACTGTGCGACTTATATGTGAATAATCACTATTCTTAAGAATATAAATCACTGTTCCTAAGGACTCTTATATGTAAATTTACCTGCAAATTTACCTGTGAATATAGATTATATGTGAGTATAGATTATATGTGAATATCTGCGACTGATCTAAGGACTTTACTTATCTGCGTTATATTGTTACACTTGGCAAAGAAAACTAACTTTTTTTTTTCAATAAATTCTTATTTTACAATATGCATTTGCAGGTGTTTCCTAATGACAGAGAACTTCGAGATGCAGCAATAGAAGCAGGGGAAGTTGTGTGGAAAAATGGACTGGTGAAGAAGGTGGGACTAGCAGATGGGATATCTGGAAATGCCTATGCCTTCCTTTCCCTGTACCGACTCACTAGAGAGAGTATTTACGAAGAGAGAGCAAAATCATTGGCTTCCTTCTTGTATGACAATGCAAAATCTCTTGCTCCTGCCAATGGCTATTCACTCTTCCAAGGTCTTGCTGGGACAGCATGCCTCTGGTTTGATCTGCTTCAACCACAAAACTCTAGCTTCCCAGGTTATGAATTATAGATTGATGCAGATAGAACAAGTTTCATGTAAAAATATGACTGATATGATATGATAATAGAAGACAGAATTAAAATAACAATAATAATAATAATACAGTGTTTGTTGACTCAGAATTATGTGATATAACTAATGAATAAACATAGTTTAACCCTCTATCTTTATCTACGTAAACTGAAACCAGATTGTTCTGAAGTTCTGGAAAAGGCTATTTGTAAATATTATAAGTACATTTTCTTTGTTCGTTTGTGAAATATATCTGACACTAATGTCTACTGAATTTTGAATTGATTTTGATTAAGTAGTTTCTATGTCTCATTAGGATTGTTTTTAATTTTTCACTCCGAGTGATTTTCAATTTTAAGAATTTTTACTATAAACATCACTGTTTCTGACTACTTTTTTTTATTATAACATCCTGATTTCTTATTATATAAATATGAATAGTTATTTTTGTTGTAAATTTGTGACAGTTTACTCATTCAATTAAAAATACAATAAAATTATATAAATTTTCGTTAATTATATTATTTCACAGTTTTTAAGAACCTTCTCCTTAAATATTGTTAGTACAATTTATTTAAGAAATAAGGTTAACAATAATAATATTAAGACATGTCAGGAATGGAATTTATTTTTCTAGTATTGTTATCAGTTTTTTTTTGTCCTCTCTTGTCAAAGGTTTTTCTCAATTTTCTTTGTGCAATAAAACCACCAATAAATTATTTGAGAAAGTTTGTGTTATATAATGACTTTCGTTTTTAGTGCTTTTAACATGTACTCTTAATTTTCTAACCATAACTACAGTCTTTATGCGCTTTACTTCTGTAGTCGCATTTTGCCTTTAGAAAATATTTTATTTACTTCTGTAGTCGCATTGTGCCTTAGAAAAGAAAGGGATAAATAATAACAAATTACTTATCTTATATTTTTATTTTAAATAAAGATAGAAAAATAAATGACGAATGAATTGCACGGATCTCACTTTAATACGAAACATCTTAAAACAAGAAAATTAATAACAGTGAGAAAAAAAAAGTTCATATGAAGAAAATCTTCAAAATATTATACTTTTATAGTTTCATCCATAAAATTGTATGGTATTAATGATGTTTACATAATTGTTAGGAAATAGTGTATAAATGATTAGGTAGCTTTACATAACATATTGCAATTTAAGGATCTTAATAAACTATTTATAGTTCGTAATTGATATTATAGATCTAAAATGTATACCCATTGCATGTATTCACATAATTAATTATATTTGTACATTTCTTTTATATAGAAATCTTATACACGAGAAATGATTAGGACAGAATTAATCTTGTACATACTCTAAAGAGAATTAGACTTTGTGCATAAGGAAGGAAGGGAGAATTACTTTAACATAAAGATCATGAAAGAACATTTTTCAAGAGGCATTAAAACCAATTAACATTGTTTTCTTTTTCTCTCTAAATCAATCTGTACAATTACAAATTTTACATCCATTTCTCGTTTATTTTATTTAATCATAATAATTTAACTTTCTAATTTTTTTTTCTACTCTTTCATTTCCATCATTTCATTCAAACAAGGGTTAAATAGCAGTTAATTAGAAATAATAAACACTACAGCAGTTACACACTCGTAATCTTAAAAAGATGATTTTATAGAATCATTTTTCATTCATATTGATGAAAAATATTTATAAAAATAAAAAAGATAATATGAAAGATAATAATATATCTCTACCACATATAAATATATTGAAAAACTATGTACCCTTTTTATTTCAAGTTTTATAGCAAGAAAGCTCTAAAGGTTCTAAAATAATAATTATTGAAATGGTTTCCCAAAACTAAAAAAATTGGGCAAATTCTTCCCGCAACCCCATATTTTTAGTCATGCACTCTTGAATATTAAGCTTTTTATTTTTAAGTAAAAAATATATTTTAGATTTATAATTTGAAAGTAAAAAATATTTGTTATTTTTTATTTCTGAATTATATAATTCGAAAACCATTTTTTATTTTTGAATCGTGAAATCTAAAAAAAAAAATTTTAAACATTAAGTTTTAGAATATATAATTCACATATCTAAATTACATAATTCATAAAGGATAAAATGAAAATTTTCATATTTATGTAAATGTTTGATGAAAATACGGAAGAATTTTCGAAGAAGTGGAAGTAAGTAGAAAGGCCCAAGCCCATTGCGTTTAACCGTTAATTGACCCGGGGATGAATAATAGTCTACCGTGTGCCTCCAAACTGAAACTGCAAGTGCAACGCTATGGGGAGAGGAAAAGGAGGGAAGAAGAGTCGCACTCAAAGAAAGCATTTCCAAGAGAGCAGAGAAAATGTATGGAACTCCAAACGTCCTAGATCAGATTCAGATCCTATTCCTTTCTCTAACCCCTTCGCTACTCAGAACCTCGCTTTCGATCACTATTACAAGGTAAACCAACCTAACCAATGCTTCGACTAAGTCACATACCGTAACTCCTCTCTCATCATCTCATTTCTTTGATTCTGTTCGTTCTTTTGCAGGATCAGGGAATCGTATCATCGCAAGAATGGGACGCATTCGTGCAACTTCTCCGAACTCCTTTGCCCGCAGCTTTCAGGATCAATTCCACGTATACATTTATTTATTTCTATTTAAACTTCACCTTCTGTCGAGTGACTGAATTCAACTGAATTTGAAAATAATCATCTATCTGTAACAGAATTTCAAAGTATAGAATAATTTCACTTTCGTAGTAAAGATAGTCAAATCCATTTCAGTTTGAATCCAGACTCGTTCATTTTAGTTCTGAGTTACGTTGATGCTTGCTTAAGTTTATTGTGTCTTTTTATTCGGTGATTCCAGTAGCCGGTTCTGTGCGGATATTCGGTCTCAACTAGAGAATGATTTTGTGCACTCTCTTCAGGCTGAGGTAAGTCACCGGCAGCAATTTTGTTTAATTATGCTGCTACTGTTGATTTTTCATGTTTAAAGTCTTTGGATCTTTTTCTTGTGGTCTTGAATTGTTATATATAGGTTGCGGAAGGGGATGATACAGAGGCTATTTTACCTTTGCCATGGTATCCTGATAATCTTGCTTGGCATTCGAATTTTTCGCGTAAGCAGCTCAGGAAGAACCAAACACTCGGGAGGTTAGTAAGGTTTGGTACATGAGTGGTGTGGATTGAACCGATATTAGTTTGGAACTAGATATGTAGTTCTAGTTAACAGTGCAACAGCCAAAAGTTCATATTGATATATTATGATTATGACTCGATGTTTAGTTAATTACCTAACTATGACGACCATTCTTATTTATGACTTTCACATGCTGGTTGGTTGCATTTAGTTGTGATTTATTATATCAGAATGTATTGTTTAGTTAATTAAAATAAATTATGCGGAAGTTAGTGCTTATGACTAATATGTCAATTCCTGCTCCCTATTATGTGAATCTCTCAGGTTTCATGAATTCTTAAAGATAGAAAATGAAATTGGAAATATTACAAGACAGGAAGCTGTCAGCATGGTGGGCCAGTTTACATTTTGTCTATCATTATTCATGATCGTAAAAAAGGACTAGCTCTTGTTCTAGATAGCTGGATGACTGACTGAATGCATGTATTTTACTTTATGATTCAAAATTTAACTAGTGGACACAAATGTTTCTTTGCTACACAGGTACCTCCCCTGTTTTTGGATGTACATTCAAATCATTTTGTACTTGATAGTAAGTAACTTGTGCTGTACTGAAGTGGATTTTGTCACTTTTACCAATTTTTTATGCTATTTTGTTTGTTTACCATGCATATTTTAGTACTTTTAACTATTTTTTCTATTTGATTGCTTTTATTCAGTGTGTGCAGCGCCAGGTTCAAAAACATTTCAATTGCTTGAGATTTTACATCATTCAACTAAAGTAGGATCTCTGCCCGATGGAATGGTTTGTGTCTGTGCATAATTTTATTCTATTTGTTTCCTAGACAAAACATTCTAGCAAATAAGGTCTGTCCTCATAAGGCTTCATGTGCAAACTTTATTAATTACTCTATGCTTAATTAATCAGGTTATAGCAAATGATCTAGATATCCAAAGATGCAATCTTCTCATTCACCAAACCAAACGGATGTGCACATCCAACCTGATTGTCACCAATCATGAAGCTCAACACTTCCCAGGATGTCTCTTAGAAAAACATTATGATAAAATGGAGCTAGATCAAGAAGCCCAGTTATTATTTGATCGTGTTCTGTGTGATGTCCCATGCAGTGGAGATGGCACCCTTCGTAAGGCCCCTGATCTGTGGAGGAAATGGTAATTTTCGTTCCTTTCCTGGATGCATTCTTCTCCCTTCTTTATCTTTAACCACCATATGCTATTTCTTGGGTTAAGACTGATTTTTTTGTATAAAGGAACACAGGGACTGGAAATGGCCTTCATAACCTACAAGTTCTAATTGCAATGCGAGGTACATTTTTTATTATTTCTACCTTTTGAAGGGAAAATGAGGTGGGTAAATTATAACCCTGTTTTAGTTTATTTGGCTGGGAACGTTCCAGATAATATTACTTAAATAAAAATATATTTGTTTTCTCAATCACAATCTCTATAGTTAAATTGAAGTTACATTCAAGGTTGATTTAGTAGAGAAGATGTATTGACTATTGTAGATGACAAGCATTCTTTTTCTTTCCCCAAACAATTTATTTTTGTACTTTTTTAGTTTTAATTTAAACTGACGGTCTCTTCTTCCTCTGGTTCAATTTTTTTCCCCGTATGGTACTTGGATCAAGCTACTGCTATTATTATTATAGATATAGACATAGATGAGTATAGGGTGAACTAGACTTCGCTACCAAGACAATGTTGGCAAACTCAATCATTCTATTGACGTTCTTAGGTGTATCTTTACTTAAAGTTGGTGGAAGGATGATTTATTCAACATGCTCAATGAATCCTATTGAGAATGAAGCGGTTGTTGCAGAGGTAATCAGCCCTGAAAGCTCTGAAATTATATTTCTTGCCAGCTATGCTATCTAGCTTGTCCAGTTATGGGCTTTCTATTGAAGTGTTCTATTTTCATTTCATGTTTTATATGTATAATTTGTTCCTTCATTGATGCGGCCCTTACCCCTCTATCATGGATCAATTGGTTGTTTTCTTAGATATTTAATGGATCTTTTTAAAAAAATACAAATATACCCTTGATTTCGAAAAAGTATTTGATAGCAACGTGTAATTTAATCAATGGATCAATTGGTTGTTTTCTTGTATATTCAATGGATATTTTTTTAAAATACAAATATACCCTTGATTTCGAAAAAGTATTTGATAGCAACGTGTAATTTAATAAATGGAAGCTAACTATCAATAGTTCAATCGCATCTCACTTATCTTCTGTTGGCACGTGCTTCATTCCTCTTGTTTTCTAATTGATGTCTACTCTTTGGTATTACTATAAATCTTTCTGTGGTTGCTATTGTAGCTTGCGGTTATGAAGGAAAAACTCAATCTGAGATGTCCCCACTTTATAATAATTCGTCCATAACATAAAAATTTGCTTTTATTTATTCAAACATTAATAGTTTTTCTTTTTATTTGAAAAAATAGTTGGAGNAAAAAAAAAAAAAATTAAACATTAAGTTTTAGAATATATAATTCACATATCTAAATTACATAATTCATAAAGGATAAAATGAAAATTTTCATATTTATGTAAATGTTTGATGAAAATACGGAAGAATTTTCGAAGAAGTGGAAGTAAGTAGAAAGGCCCAAGCCCATTGCGTTTAACCGTTAATTGACCCGGGGATGAATAATAGTCTACCGTGTGCCTCCAAACTGAAACTGCAAGTGCAACGCTATGGGGAGAGGAAAAGGAGGGAAGAAGAGTCGCACTCAAAGAAAGCATTTCCAAGAGAGCAGAGAAAATGTATGGAACTCCAAACGTCCTAGATCAGATTCAGATCCTATTCCTTTCTCTAACCCCTTCGCTACTCAGAACCTCGCTTTCGATCACTATTACAAGGTAAACCAACCTAACCAATGCTTCGACTAAGTCACATACCGTAACTCCTCTCTCATCATCTCATTTCTTTGATTCTGTTCGTTCTTTTGCAGGATCAGGGAATCGTATCATCGCAAGAATGGGACGCATTCGTGCAACTTCTCCGAACTCCTTTGCCCGCAGCTTTCAGGATCAATTCCACGTATACATTTATTTATTTCTATTTAAACTTCACCTTCTGTCGAGTGACTGAATTCAACTGAATTTGAAAATAATCATCTATCTGTAACAGAATTTCAAAGTATAGAATAATTTCACTTTCGTAGTAAAGATAGTCAAATCCATTTCAGTTTGAATCCAGACTCGTTCATTTTAGTTCAGAGTTACGTTGATGCTTGCTTAAGTTTATTGTGTCTTTTTATTCGGTGATTCCAGTAGCCGGTTCTGTGCGGATATTCGGTCTCAACTAGAGAATGATTTTGTGCACTCTCTTCAAGCTGAGGTAAGTCACCGGCAGCAATTTTGTTTAATTATGCTGCTACTGTTGATTTTTCATGTTTAAAGTCTTTGGATCTTTTTCTTGTGGTCTTGAATTGTTATATATAGGTTGCGGAAGGGGATGATACAGAGGCTATTTTACCTTTGCCATGGTATCCTGATAATCTTGCTTGGCATTCGAATTTTTCGCGTAAGCAGCTCAGGAAGAACCAAACACTCGGGAGGTTAGTAAGGTTTGGTACATGAGTGGTGTGGATTGAACCGATATTAGTTTGGAACTAGATATGTAGTTCTAGTTAACAGTGCAACAGCCAAAAGTTCATATTGATATATTATGATTATGACTCGATGTTTAGTTAATTACCTAACTATGACGACCATTCTTATTTATGACTTTCACATGCTGGTTGGTTGCATTTAGTTGTGATTTATTATATCAGAATGTATTGTTTAGTTAATTAAAATAAATTATGCGGAAGTTAGTGCTTATGACTAATATGTCAATTCCTGCTCCCTATTATGTGAATCTCTCAGGTTTCATGAATTCTTAAAGATAGAAAATGAAATTGGAAATATTACAAGACAGGAAGCTGTCAGCATGGTGGGCCAGTTTACATTTTGTCTATCATTATTCATGATCGTAAAAAAGGACTAGCTCTTGTTCTAGATAGCTGGATGACTGACTGAATGCATGTATTTTACTTTATGATTCAAAATTTAACTAGTGGACACAAATGTTTCTTTGCTACACAGGTACCTCCCCTGTTTTTGGATGTACATTCAAATCATTTTGTACTTGATAGTAAGTAACTTGTGCTGTACTGAAGTGGATTTTGTCACTTTTACCAATTTTTTATGCTATTTTGTTTGTTTACCATGCATATTTTAGTACTTTTAACTATTTTTTCTATTTGATTGCTTTTATTCAGTGTGTGCAGCGCCAGGTTCAAAAACATTTCAATTGCTTGAGATTTTACATCATTCAACTAAAGTAGGATCTCTGCCCGATGGAATGGTTTGTGTCTGTGCATAATTTTATTCTATTTGTTTCCTAGACAAAACATTCTAGCAAATAAGGTCTGTCCTCATAAGGCTTCATGTGCAAACTTTATTAATTACTCTATGCTTAATTAATCAGGTTATAGCAAATGATCTAGATATCCAAAGATGCAATCTTCTCATTCACCAAACCAAACGGATGTGCACATCCAACCTGATTGTCACCAATCATGAAGCTCAACACTTCCCAGGATGTCTCTTAGAAAAACATTATGATAAAATAGAGCTAGATCAAGAAGCCCAGTTATTATTTGATCGTGTTCTGTGTGATGTCCCATGCAGTGGAGATGGCACCCTTCGTAAGGCCCCTGATCTGTGGAGGAAATGGTAATTTTCGTTCCTTTCCTGGATGCATTCTTCTCCCTTCTTTATCTTTAACCACCATATGCTATTTCTTGGGTTAAGACTGATTTTTTTGTATAAAGGAACACAGGGACTGGAAATGGCCTTCATAACCTACAAGTTCTAATTGCAATGCGAGGTACATTTTTTATTATTTCTACCTTTTGAAGGGAAAATGAGGTGGGTAAATTATAACCCTGTTTTAGTTTATTTGGCTGGGAACGTTCCAGATAATATTACTTAAATAAAAATATATTTGTTTTCTCAATCACAATCTCTATAGTTAAATTGAAGTTACATTCAAGGTTGATTTAGTAGAGAAGATGTATTGACTATTGTAGATGACAAGCATTCTTTTTCTTTCCCCAAACAATTTATTTTTGTACTTTTTTAGTTTTAATTTAAACTGACGGTCTCTTCTTCCTCTGGTTCAATTTTTTTCCCCGTATGGTACTTGGATCAAGCTACTGCTATTATTATTATAGATATAGACATAGATGAGTATAGGGTGAACTAGACTTCGCTACCAAGACAATGTTGGCAAACTCAATCATTCTATTGACGTTCTTAGGTGTATCTTTACTTAAAGTTGGTGGAAGGATGATTTATTCAACATGCTCAATGAATCCTATTGAGAATGAAGCGGTTGTTGCAGAGGTAATCAGCCCTGAAAGCTCTGAAATTATATTTCTTGCCAGCTATGCTATCTAGCTTGTCCAGTTATGGGCTTTCTATTGAAGTGTTCTATTTTCATTTCATGTTTTATATGTATAATTTGTTCCTTCATTGATGCGGCCCTTACCCCTCTATCATGGATCAATTGGTTGTTTTCTTAGATATTTAATGGATCTTTTTAAAAAAATACAAATATACCCTTGATTTCGAAAAAGTATTTGATAGCAACGTGTAATTTAATCAATGGATCAATTGGTTGTTTTCTTGTATATTCAATGGATATTTTTTTTAAATACAAATATACCCTTGATTTCGAAAAAGTATTTGATAGCAACGTGTAATTTAATAAATGGAAGCTAACTAGAGCTAACTATCAATAGTTCAATCGCATCTCACTTATCTTCTGTTGGCACGTGCTTCATTCCTCTTGTTTTCTAATTGATGTCTACTCTTTGGTATTACTATAAATCTTTCTGTGGTTGCTATTGTAGCTTGCGGTTATGAAGGAAAAACTCAATCTGAGATGTCCCCACTTTATAATAATTCGTCCATAACATAAAAATTTGCTTTTATTTATTCAAACATTAATAGTTTTTCTTTTTATTTGAAAAAATAGTTGGAGTTTTTCCTTATTAAAAAAAAATTATGTTCAATGCTTTTGGTTTGGCATCTACTAGAATACACTAACATTGTTTGTAGCACTTAAAGTATTTTCCCTTACCTACCAATTGCAGGTTTTGCGAAGGTGTGGAGGATCCATCGAACTTGTAGATGTCTCTAGTGAACTTCCCCAACTCACTCGTCGACCAGGTCTTAAGAGATGGAAGGTTTGTTTTTCTGTGACTATTTATTGCCTTGTGCCTTAGAGTTTGAAGATAAAACGTGTAATCTACAAATGGATGTATTGATTTGCTTATACATGGCAAAATCGAGCATGCATAACTCTTCTTTCTGGGGCTTAGAAGGAGAAAATGTTTCATTGTTTGTGATAATGAATTAACTATTTCAATTTTATTGTGTCATGGCCTGTTATTCTTTTGGTTGGCTTATTTTTTAGTTGTGTTTTAGTTGTTAATTCTTTGTAATTGGTTACTGGGATGTCCTTCAACTTGTACCCATGTTCACATTCCTGGTAAAACATTGAATTTCAAACTTGAATAGAAAAATATTATGTTTACCCAAATGAATTTGAATTTCTAGCAAAAGATGTTTGATTATTGTGTAGTTAATTGAATGCAGTACTCTAGAATAGAAGGATCTAACGTTATGCAGTGTGCATTGAAATGTATCTGAAGATAGTTTGGATGTGCAGGTATGTGACAAAGGCAAGTGGTTCATCTCCAGCAAAGATGTTCCCAAGTTTCGTAGAAATGTAGTTCTTCCCAGCATGTTTCCAAATGGCAGAAGCTATCAGGATGTTGGTGATAGTAATTGTAATATCATCATGGAAGGTGATATTAATACTGATAAGGGACATATCGAAGATGATACCCAAGCGATGGAGAATCCTGCTATGCTCGAATTTACTGAGGAAGATTCTGATTTCCCACTAGAGCGGTGCATGAGGTTTGTGCCTCATGATCAGAATACTGGAGCCTTCTTTATTGCTGTTCTGCAGAAAGTTTCTGCTCTTCCTGGTAATTTCTTTTATGATTTCAGTTGTTTTTCTCTCTCAAATCCTGATTAACCGAGTCAGGGAATTCTAGTGGATATTGGGAATAACTCCTCCTTCAGCAGACGCTTTTAAATACAAACATATTTTATGTGCCCATGCCTTTTCTTGCCATAATAGGTTTGTGATCGTTGTCCCTTTGCAGCAATCCAGGTAAAACCTAGAAAAGAAGTTGGGAAACAGGTTGACACAGCAAACCAAGGCAATGAGGATGCACACGAACTGCATGCTAATCCATTGGAAAATATATCTGAAGGAATTTCAGAGGCTAATGTAAATGAAAATGAACCTAATGAAACAGATTTGAAGGTTAATTCTGTTGCATGTGAAGAAGCGGATTTCAAGGAAGCCCAAGAACCCTGCAGTATAGAAATCATAACAAAGAATACTCCAGGCAAAAGGAAACTGCAGTTTCAAGGAAAATGGAGAGGCATTGACCCTGTTGTCTTCTTCAAAGATGAAGGAGTTATTAACAGCATAAAGGCATTTTATGGCATTGATGATCAATTTCCATTTAATGGTCACCTTGTAACAAGAAACAGTGATACAAGTCACGTGAAAAGAATTTACTATATATCCAAGCCAGTCAAAGATGTTCTGGAGTTGAACTTCTCAGTGGGGCAGCAACTTAAAATAACTTCTGTTGGTCTGAAGGTTTTTGTAAGTATATTATCTTCTCAATTATAAGTGTTTTTGTTATTGTAATTTTTATTGTTGATTTATTTATAACATATGCTACTTATTTTCAATAAAATTTTACTCAAAGTGAGAACATGTATAAAGTGGGAAAGTAGTGATTTATTTGCCGTTGATATAAAGTGTAGATAATTTATTTCAAATAAAAGATGGATACACCTTTACTTTCTCTTTTCAGAGAAGCAAAATCCTTTTAAATAATTCTCTATGCAGTAGTGAAAACAGTGACATTTGAGGACACAGATCAGGTTTAAACTTGTGTGGGTAAAGACCATCTAATTATATAAATAAATTAAGTCAAACTGAGTTATATTGACAAAATTATAGTGTATGAAAACACAGATATTAAAGTAGTAGCATGACTAGTTAGTGTTAACGATTCCTATTACTGTTTTTCCTGACACAGTTTAGAATATTTTGTGGGATATGAATCATGGTAAACAACTGGGTGTGAGATTTCTTTTTGTCGTGATAATTGATATTGGACTGCTGTGATATAAAAGCCTTGATAGTTTGTTTGAATTTTTATAAAAACCTAATTACTTGTAAACAATCAGTGGCCTGCCCTTAACTGTCAGTGACAAATGAGTTATTTGATTAACTCTTGTACTTGTGAATAAGTGAAAATGCTTGCCAATGTCATCATCGTACAGGAAAGACAAACTTCATGTGAAGGAAGGTCTGCACAATGTTCTTTCCGGATCACTTCTGAAGGATTGCCCCTTATTCTCCCTCACATTTCCAAACAGATTCTAAGTGCATCTGTAATAGATTTCAAGCATCTTCTGCAGTATAGAGCTGTAAAATTTGCAGATTTTGTGGATGCCAAGTTCGGAGAACGTGCTGCAAACCTAATGCCCGGCTGTTGCGTGATAGTTCTGGGTGAAGGTATGCACCGGCATGATCAAAGAGTAAATGCCAATTAGCCTGACTCTATTTGACCTTCTCCTTTCTTCGCAGGTAGCAGAGCTGCTGCAGGGACCCTCAAAGTGGATGAGTCAACTGTAGCCATTGGATGCTGGAAGGGTAGAGCAAGTTTGACTGTCATGGTTGGTGCATTGGAATGCCAAGAACTGCTCCAACGGCTTTTAATGCGTCTAGATGCACAAACAGAAAAGGACTCCTCCATGCATGAGGACCAACCGTCTGGTACCAAGGGAGATGAAGCACAAGTGGCAAACGGTAAAAATGAAGATATTTAATATTTTTCACTGATTACTTGGAGTAGTCAATCTAGGTTTTTACTAATTTATTCACAGCTCCTATCCTTTTAGTCAAGTTTCCCACCTAACTTAAGTCTCATCCCTCTTACAAAAAAGCATTTTGCAGAAATTAGGGCCGTGGTCCACCCATGTATGTTATGAATTTATTTTCTATCCGTTTTGTTTTCGTCGTGTTATTTATAGCCAAGTTAGCACACAGACTTTGCTCAAATTTGTATCAATAGCTTTTAGTGACTTCACCAGGATTTTATACTTGACAGAAGCGTCCATTTTACTTAACCAGCACGACTTTTTATAAGTATTGGAAAGTTGTTCTGGTTGGATGTTAGGGAACCGCAAGATCACTTGTTTTTGTGAAAAAAGGTTAACCAATGTCTGTTAACAAATTGGGTATTTTGCAGTTAAACTTTCATTTTTCTCGTTCTGTCAATGTCTGTTCACGCATAGCGTACAAGATTGAAATTAATTTATTTAAAATCTTGCAAATTTTTAATAGTTAAAGTACTATTAGTACAAATGCATTACCGGCTTTCAATTTAAACGAGAAGCTATTTTTGCTTTAGTACTTTTTAAGTTTAAATTAAATTTTATGTATTATTATGTTCTTGTTTTATTTTAAAGTTTAGCAAATTTTACTGTGTTTAAAATATTATAATTTTATTATTGTAATGCGGTATTAAAACAGTTGCTTTATCTGGAAATGTCATCCAAGACCAAAGGACTTTGGTATCAATCCCACAAGATTTATTATTTCAGATTTATCAAGACCCGGAACCTTTGTCATGATTCTTGAACTTTAAAGAACTATTTGTGCAAACTCGGACTTGCAATAGAGTCACAAGGCATCAAGCTATATCAGGCTTCGAGCATGGCATTTTACAATCAACTCTATTTCGAGTCTAACAAAGTTACCTACCAAAGATTTAAGCTTAAATCATTACCACTATTTTGTTTTATTTTCTGATTAAGATATTTTTTTTAAATCCAGCACAACAAAGGTCAGCACTGATTAATGAGATGAAACTTTAATTTAATTGAAAAATAACAATAAACATATCTAAAACAGCACGCTTAAAGTCAAGGAAGACCAGCACTGTCAGGATGATGATTTTCAGTCCGCCCTACATGTATTCTATTCCTACTAACATAAAAACATTTAATTACTTCCCTCTCTTGATCTTAATGAGCTACTCATGCAAAATAAATTTTAAATAATGTAAAAATATACAAAATAAAATGCACCAGACTAATAAAAATTGGTGATAGGAACACAACCATGAAATCTAGAAAATTTAAACAAATTATAAATAAATTCAGGATTACTGACAACACATGTTCCCCTTGGGGATTTCTTGAGCAGGACCAGGGACAATAATTTTCTTACCAGACAGTGATGCTGAGTTGCCATTTCCCTGATTATCACCAGCCGCTAGGTTCTTCTTGTTAACAATGTTGAATATTTCTGTCAAAACTGTCATGAAGGCTGTTTCAACGTTAGTCGATTCCAGCGCTGAAGTCTCCAAGAAAAATAAGCCTTCTTTCTCGGCAAATTCTTTTGCATCGTCTGTGGGTACTTGACGCTGGTTCTCCAGATCACTTTTGTTTCCTATAAGAATAATGACTATATTCTTATCAGCATGGTTACGCAGTTCTTCTAACCAGCGAGGTATGTGATCGAAGCTTTGACGTTTTGTGATGTCATAAACCAGCATTGCCCCGACAGCACCCCTGTAGTATGCACTTGTGACTGCTCTATATCTGTAGAATAAAATCATTTATATGTCAGGTCAAACTGCAATCAGTATTCGGAGTAATGGTAAGTTAACCATGGGTATTGGATACCATGAAATGATCAGAGATAAACTTGACAACAGTGTAAAGTTTGAAAAAGCACATACAACCTAAAAATATACACCGTACAAAAAGATCATAACATCCAGCAAATTAAAATAACTAGGCTGAAAATATACATACTGCTTTAACTTTTTAAACTTGACAATATACAGATGAATTCCAATGATTAATATACTCAACCATAATTGCCAAATATTTTATTCATAACCCTCCTCTAAAGAGTTAAACTCATTGAGTGATAAGCTCTCACGTTTCCGATTTAGTAAAAAAAAAAAAAAACTAAAGTACTCTACAAATAAGATCGCATCCAACGTGCTCTAGTAAGATTGTCTACTAAAGAGGATATTATATAGTGGGCCAAAGAAGTAAGAAATTGATAATGTTTTAATTTAAATTTGTGGGTTAAACTTTTAGCAACACGCACAAGCCCCCTTCAAGCGCAATTTTTTTGCATATATTCATAATCTATACATACTACTGTGGATGGTCAATTCGGTCACAGATGCTTCTGTTTGTGTTGAGATCTCAACGTACGTGGGTTTTACACCCAACGATTCTGTTATACTACAAAGCTGAGAAATAATTATTTTAAAAGAACAATCCCATGGAAATTGAGCAATGATGACAGCTAATTATAAACGTAGAAAAAATTCAACGTACTCCTAATTGCTTTATAAATTTCATTTCTCTTTATAAACAGAAAAAATTCAATGTACTCCTAATTGCTTTATAAATTTCATTCCAAATTTCATTCCTCTCTCTTGTACAGAATGAAATAAGTTTATACTACTAAACAAATTAGCACATGAAATTTTGCATCGATAGGCATTAACAACAATTACTTCACAAAAGATACCAGAAATTGAAGAAACGGTTTTTAGAATAGTACAAAATATAATCATAGGCCTACCTACTAGCAACGAGTTTATTCTCACTCCGTGTACAACCAGAATTCCTTCAAAGGGTAGGTTTAGGTTTAACACGAGTTTGTATGGGTAACTCTTAACCTTCAGGTCCATTACACAGGTATTCTCCTTCCAAATACACTTGCATTAACAGTGCAACACAGATTCAAACACCGAACAGAAATTTGTAGGAATTATTTCTAAGGATTTTATTGGAATATGTAGACAATTCAATCTGATTACTATAGTCTCGAAGTTCTAATAGCACACTACATATGAACTAGGAATATTCTAACAGATATGTCACTTCGAAGTGAGGTTCTAATATGTCCCATGAAAGGGTGTATAAACTCTGAGAGGGCAGTCAGGTGACACATACATATTTACTTGTGAAAATTATTCTATAGAATTTACTTCTTTATATCTCGTGCATGGTACTAAACATTAATAGGTGATCCGATACATGGCTGAACAATATATCCAACACACTAAACATTAATAGGTGATCTGATAGGTGGTTGAACAATATATCCAACAAACAATGAATCTCGCTAAGATAGGCTTTAATAATGATTGAAGTGGACTTTAAGTCTTACTTAATCCCACAAGATCGGTTTATAAGAAGAGGTTTTCACTCACTTATATACTATGAAATTGTCTTATTNTATGGTACTTGGATCAAGCTACTGCTATTATTATTATAGATATAGACATAGATGAGTATAGGGTGAACTAGACTTCGCTACCAAGACAATGTTGGCAAACTCAATCATTCTATTGACGTTCTTAGGTGTATCTTTACTTAAAGTTGGTGGAAGGATGATTTATTCAACATGCTCAATGAATCCTATTGAGAATGAAGCGGTTGTTGCAGAGGTAATCAGCCCTGAAAGCTCTGAAATTATATTTCTTGCCAGCTATGCTATCTAGCTTGTCCAGTTATGGGCTTTCTATTGAAGTGTTCTATTTTCATTTCATGTTTTATATGTATAATTTGTTCCTTCATTGATGCGGCCCTTACCCCTCTATCATGGATCAATTGGTTGTTTTCTTAGATATTTAATGGATCTTTTTAAAAAAATACAAATATACCCTTGATTTCGAAAAAGTATTTGATAGCAACGTGTAATTTAATCAATGGATCAATTGGTTGTTTTCTTGTATATTCAATGGATATTTTTTTAAAATACAAATATACCCTTGATTTCGAAAAAGTATTTGATAGCAACGTGTAATTTAATAAATGGAAGCTAACTATCAATAGTTCAATCGCATCTCACTTATCTTCTGTTGGCACGTGCTTCATTCCTCTTGTTTTCTAATTGATGTCTACTCTTTGGTATTACTATAAATCTTTCTGTGGTTGCTATTGTAGCTTGCGGTTATGAAGGAAAAACTCAATCTGAGATGTCCCCACTTTATAATAATTCGTCCATAACATAAAAATTTGCTTTTATTTATTCAAACATTAATAGTTTTTCTTTTTATTTGAAAAAATAGTTGGAGTTTTTCCTTATTAAAAAAAAATTATGTTCAATGCTTTTGGTTTGGCATCTACTAGAATACACTAACATTGTTTGTAGCACTTAAAGTATTTTCCCTTACCTACCAATTGCAGGTTTTGCGAAGGTGTGGAGGATCCATCGAACTTGTAGATGTCTCTAGTGAACTTCCCCAACTCACTCGTCGACCAGGTCTTAAGAGATGGAAGGTTTGTTTTTCTGTGACTATTTATTGCCTTGTGCCTTAGAGTTTGAAGATAAAACGTGTAATCTACAAATGGATGTATTGATTTGCTTATACATGGCAAAATCGAGCATGCATAACTCTTCTTTCTGGGGCTTAGAAGGAGAAAATGTTTCATTGTTTGTGATAATGAATTAACTATTTCAATTTTATTGTGTCATGGCCTGTTATTCTTTTGGTTGGCTTATTTTTTAGTTGTGTTTTAGTTGTTAATTCTTTGTAATTGGTTACTGGGATGTCCTTCAACTTGTACCCATGTTCACATTCCTGGTAAAACATTGAATTTCAAACTTGAATAGAAAAATATTATGTTTACCCAAATGAATTTGAATTTCTAGCAAAAGATGTTTGATTATTGTGTAGTTAATTGAATGCAGTACTCTAGAATAGAAGGATCTAACGTTATGCAGTGTGCATTGAAATGTATCTGAAGATAGTTTGGATGTGCAGGTATGTGACAAAGGCAAGTGGTTCATCTCCAGCAAAGATGTTCCCAAGTTTCGTAGAAATGTAGTTCTTCCCAGCATGTTTCCAAATGGCAGAAGCTATCAGGATGTTGGTGATAGTAATTGTAATATCATCATGGAAGGTGATATTAATACTGTTAAGGGACATATCGAAGATGATACCCAAGCAATGGAGAATCCTGCTATGCTCGAATTTACTGAGGAAGATTCTGATTTCCCACTAGAGCGGTGCATGAGGTTTGTGCCTCATGATCAGAATACTGGAGCCTTCTTTATTGCTGTTCTGCAGAAAGTTTCTGCTCTTCCTGGTAATTTCTTTTATGATTTCAGTTGTTTTTCTCTCTCAAATCCTGATTAACCGAGTCAGGGAATTCTAGTGGATATTGGGAATAACTCCTCCTTCAGCAGCCGCTTTTAAATACAAACATATTTTATGTGCCCATGCCTTTTCTTGCCATAATAGGTTTGTGATCGTTGTCCCTTTGCAGCAATCCAGGTAAAACCTAGAAAAGAAGTTGGGAAACAGGTTGACACAGCAAACCAAGGCAATGAGGATGCACACGAACTGCATGCTAATCCATTGGAAAATATATCTGAAGGAATTTCAGAGGCTAATGTAAATGAAAATGAACCTAATGAAACAGATTTGAAGGTTAATTCTGTTGCATGTGAAGAAGCGGATTTCAAGGAAGCCCAAGAACCCTGCAGTATAGAAATCATAACAAAGAATACTCCAGGCAAAAGGAAACTGCAGTTTCAAGGAAAATGGAGAGGCATTGACCCTGTTGTCTTCTTCAAAGATGAAGGAGTTATTAACAGCATAAAGGCATTTTATGGCATTGATGATCAATTTCCATTTAATGGTCACCTTGTAACAAGAAACAGTGATACAAGTCACGTGAAAAGAATTTACTATATATCCAAGCCAGTCAAAGATGTTCTGGAGTTGAACTTCTCAGTGGGGCAGCAACTTAAAATAACTTCTGTTGGTCTGAAGGTTTTTGTAAGTATATTATCTTCTCAATTATAAGTGTTTTTGTTATTGTAATTTTTATTGTTGATTTATTTATAACATATGCTCCTTATTTTCAATAAAATTTTACTCAAAGTGAGAACATGTATAAAGTGGGAAAGTAGTGATTTATTTGCCGTTGATATAAAGTGTAGATAATTTATTTCAAATAAAAGATGGATACACCTTTACTTTCTCTTTTCAGAGAAGCAAAATCCTTTTAAATAATTCTCTATGCAGTAGTGAAAACAGTGACATTTGAGGACACAGATCAGGTTTAAACTTGTGTGGGTAAAGACCATCTAATTATATAAATAAATTAAGTCAAACTGAGTTATATTGACAAAATTATAGTGTATGAAAACACAGATATTAAAGTAGTAGCATGACTAGTTAGTGTTAACGATTCCTATTACTGTTTTTCCTGACTCAGTTTAGAATATTTTGTGGGATATGAATCATGGTAAACAACTGGGTGTGAGATTTCTTTTTGTCGTGATAATTGATATTGGACTGCTGTGATATAAAAGCCTTGATAGTTTGTTTGAATTTTTATAAAAACCTAATTACTTGTAAACAATCAGTGGCCTGCCCTTAACTGTCAGTGACAAATGAGTTATTTGATTAACTCTTGTACTTGTGAATAAGTGAAAATGCTTGCCAATGTCATCATCGTACAGGAAAGACAAACTTCATGTGAAGGAAGGTCTGCACAATGTTCTTTCCGGATCACTTCTGAAGGATTGCCCCTTATTCTCCCTCACATTTCCAAACAGATTCTAAGTGCATCTGTAATAGATTTCAAGCATCTTCTGCAGTATAGAGCTGTAAAATTTGCAGATTTTGTGGATGCCAAGTTCGGAGAACGTGCTGCAAACCTAATGCCCGGCTGTTGCGTGATAGTTCTGGGTGAAGGTATGCACCGGCATGATCAAAGAGTAAATGCCAATTAGCCTGACTCTATTTGACCTTCTCCTTTCTTCGCAGGTAGCAGAGCTGCTGCAGGGACCCTCAAAGTGGATGAGTCAACTGTAGCCATTGGATGCTGGAAGGGTAGAGCAAGTTTGACTGTCATGGTTGGTGCATTGGAATGCCAAGAACTGCTCCAACGGCTTTTAATGCGTCTAGATGCACAAACAGAAAAGGACTCCTCCATGCATGAGGACCAACCGTCTGGTACCAAGGGAGATGAAGCACAAGTGGCAAACGGTAAAAATGAAGATATTTAATATTTTTCACTGATTACTTGGAGTAGTCAATCTAGGTTTTTACTAATTTATTCACAGCTCCTATCCTTTTAGTCACGTTTCCCACCTAACTTAAGTCTCATCCCTCTTACAAAAAAGCATTTTGCAGAAATTAGGGCCGTGGTCCACCCATGTATGTTATGAATTTATTTTCTATCCGTTTTGTTTTCGTCGTGTTATTTATAGCCAAGTTAGCACACAGACTTTGCTCAAATTTGTATCAATAGCTTTTAGTGACTTCACCAGGATTTTATACTTGACAGAAGCGTCCATTTTACTTAACCAGCACGACTTTTTATAAGTATTGGAAAGTTGTTCTGGTTGGATGTTAGGGAACCGCAAGATCACTTGTTTTTGTGAAAAAAGGTTAACCAATGTCTGTTAACAAATTGGGTATTTTGCAGTTAAACTTTCATTTTTCTCGTTCTGTCAATGTCTGTTCACGCATAGCGTACAAGATTGAAATTAATTTATTTAAAATCTTGCAAATTTTTAATAGTTAAAGTACTATTAGTACAAATGCATTACCGGCTTTCAATTTAAACGAGAAGCTATTTTTGCTTTAGTACTTTTTAAGTTTAAATTAAATTTTATGTATTATTATGTTCTTGTTTTATTTTAAAGTTTAGCAAATTTTACTGTGTTTAAAATATTATAATTTTATTATTGTAATGCGGTATTAAAACAGTTGCTTTATCTGGAAATGTCATCCAAGACCAAGGACTTTGGTATCAATCCCACAAGATTTATTATTTCAGATTTATCAAGACCCGGAACCTTTGTCATGATTCTTGAACTTTAAAGAACTATTTGTGCAAACTCGGACTTGCAATAGAGTCACAAGGCATCAAGCTATATCAGGCTTCGAGCATGGCATTTTACAATCAACTCTATTTCGAGTCTAACAAAGTTACCTACCAAAGATTTAAGCTTAAATCATTACCACTATTTTGTTTTATTTTCTGATTAAGATATTTTTTTTAAATCCAGCACAACAAAGGTCAGCACTGATTAATGAGATGAAACTTTAATTTAATTGAAAAATAACAATAAACATATCTAAAACAGCACGCTTAAAGTCAAGGAAGACCAGCACTGTCAGGATGATGATTTTCAGTCCGCCCTACATGTATTCTATTCCTACTAACATAAAAACATTTAATTACTTCCCTCTCTTGATCTTAATGAGCTACTCATGCAAAATAAATTTTAAATAATGTAAAAATATACAAAATAAAATGCACCAGACTAATAAAAATTGGTGATAGGAACACAACCATGAAATCTAGAAAATTTAAACAAATTATAAATAAAATCAGGATTACTGACAACACATGTTCCCCTTGGGGATTTCTTGAGCAGGACCAGGGACAATAATTTTCTTACCAGACAGAGATGCTGAGTTGCCATTTCCCTGATTATCACCAGCCGCAAGGTTCTTCTTGTTAACAATGTTGAATATTTCTGTCAAAACTGTCATGAAGGCTGTTTCAACGTTAGTCGATTCCAGCGCTGAAGTCTCCAAGAAAAATAAGCCTTCTTTCTCGGCAAATTCTTTTGCATCGTCTGTGGGTACTTGACGCTGGTTCTCCAGATCACTTTTGTTTCCTATAAGAATAATGACTATATTCTTATCAGCATGGTTACGCAGTTCTTCTAACCAGCGAGGTATGTGATCGAAGCTTTGACGTTTTGTGATGTCATAAACCAGCATTGCCCCGACAGCACCCCTGTAGTATGCACTTGTGACTGCTCTATATCTGTAGAATAAAATCATTTATATGTCAGGTCAAACTGCAATCAGTATTCGGAGTAATGGTAAGTTAACCATGGGTATTGGATACCATGAAATGATCAGAGATAAACTTGACAACAGTGTAAAGTTTGAAAAAGCACATACAACCTAAAAATATACACCGTACAAAAAGATCATAACATCCAGCAAATTAAAATAACTAGGCTGAAAATATACATACTGCTTTAACTTTTTAAACTTGACAATATACAGATGAATTCCAATGATTAATATACTCAACCATAATTGCCAAATATTTTATTCATAACCCTCCTCTAAAGAGTTAAACTCATTGAGTGATAAGCTCTCACGTTTCCGATTTAGTAAAAAAAAAAAAAAAACTAAAGTACTCTACAAATAAGATCGCATCCAACGTGCTCTAGTAAGATTGTCTACTAAAGAGGATATTATATAGTGGGCCAAAGAAGTAAGAAATTGATAATGTTTTAATTTAAATTTGTGGGTTAAACTTTTAGCAACACGCACAAGCCCCCTTCAAGCGCAATTTTTTTGCATATATTCATAATCTATACATACTACTGTGGATGGTCAATTCGGTCACAGATGCTTCTGTTTGTGTTGAGATCTCAACGTACGTGGGTTTTACACCCAACGATTCTGTTATACTACAAAGCTGAGAAATAATTATTTTAAAAGAACAATCCCATGGAAATTGAGCAATGATGACAGCTAATTATAAACGTAGAAAAAATTCAACGTACTCCTAATTGCTTTATAAATTTCATTTCTCTTTATAAACAGAAAAAATTCAATGTACTCCTAATTGCTTTATAAATTTCATTCCAAATTTCATTCCTCTCTCTTGTACAGAATGAAATAAGTTTATACTACTAAACAAATTAGCACATGAAATTTTGCATCGATAGGCATTAACAACAATTACTTCACAAAAGATACCAGAAATTGAAGAAACGGTTTTTAGAATAGTACAAAATATAATCATAGGCCTACCTACTAGCAACGAGTTTATTCTCACTCCGTGTACAACCAGAATTCCTTCAAAGGGTAGGTTTAGGTTTAACACGAGTTTGTATGGGTAACTCTTAACCTTCAGGTCCATTACACAGGTATTCTCCTTCCAAATACACTTGCATTAACAGTGCAACACAGATTCAAACACCGAACAGAAATTTGTAGGAATTATTTCTAAGGATTTTATTGGAATATGTAGACAATTCAATCTGATTACTATAGTCTCGAAGTTCTAATAGCACACTACATATGAACTAGGAATATTCTAACAGATATGTCACTTCGAAGTGAGGTTCTAATATGTCCCATGAAAGGGTGTATAAACTCTGAGAGGGCAGTCAGGTGACACATACATATTTACTTGTGAAAATTATTCTATAGAATTTACTTCTTTATATCTCGTACATGGTACTAAACATTAATAGGTGATCCGATACATGACTGAACAATATATCCAACACACTAAACATTAATAGGTGATCTGATAGGTGGTTAAACAATATATCCAACAAACAATGAATCTCGCTAAGATAGGCTTTAATAATGATTGAAGTGGACTTTAAGTCTTACTTAATCCCACAAGATCGGTTTATAAGATGAGGTTTTCACTCACTTATATACTATGAAATTGTCTTATCTCTAGTCGTGGGACTTCCAACAAACTTTGAGTTCAACACAGTCCACATCAATACTCAAATTGTCGCAAGAAAACCTTGACAAAACCCAAAACAACTTGAGAAAAGGGATGTTGTTTTGACCTTCGTCCAAACGAAATTGGCAGGTCTGAGACAATTGTGATCGCTATTAGTCTTTATATATGAGACATGGTTAAGCATTATTAATTCCTTTTTGTAATTATAAAATTTGAATGTATTGCATAAACATTGACGGGAACCAAAGACATGGAAATCTAAATAGTTCGAGTCCTAATAATTTCTTCCCAGTCCTGGTTTCAAATGGTCCAATTAGGTCACCCCTCTCACCACACATGTCCAATCGATAACAACAGATAATTCTCTTATATATAAGGATGGATAATCAATAGATAATCTTCTAATCCTTTAAAGATAAGGTGGAGATAATTCACTTATCACTAAAAAATAATTTCAAACAGACTAATACCTCATATAAACTCATATGAGATAGGCTATCTATACGTCCCTCAAGTCCGTACTCAAACATCCACCGACTACAATCGTAGAGTTCTTGCCACATCCAACAAGACATCGAGGTACACGATCCCTACCCATGAGTTTGTCCCAAACAAGTGCAAAAGGTTGGTGACAAGATGAAGTTAGGTTTTAATTTCTGACCTCTGTTGTGGTCATTCGTCAAACTATTTCAAGGATACGTCAACATGCAATCAATGATAGCACAAAAAATTAAACTCCAAAGTTCAATATCCTTCCGCGACACGCAAAACATTAAAAGTCAAACTCGGTTTGACTCACTACTACAGACTAAGTTGGCGGAAAACACGAAGTTGAACCACTAAAAAAACTGAACCGAGGATCAAGTCTTCCGCCGGCCACGACCAGACGAGTAGATCAACTCAGCAAACAAATCTAACATCTAAGTATCTAACTCAGAGTTAAACTGCGTAATAATTCGCCGCGATCAGAGCATACAGAAGGTAAGCACTGATCAGTAGCTATTGTTTCAAAGGCATATCAATCAACAGATACAATACGTAGCGAAAACCTAACAAGACAAAAAAGATCTACAAAATCTTCCACTAAAATCCTCTAGGTTTTACTTCGAACAAAAACAACGAAACGAAACAAGTAGAAAATAACAGAGTATAGTATAGTTGAAGAGAAGTAGAAGACGGAGAGATAGAGAACCGTTCTTGTCCCGCAGTGTCCCAGATCTGAGCCTTGACGCTCTTGTGCTGAATCACCAAAGTGCGGGTTTGGAACTCGACACCGATTGTGGCCTTCGAATCCAAGCTGAACTCATTTCTCGCGAATCGCGCAAGTATCTGCGACTTCCCCACCGCCGAATCGCCTATAAGCACCACCTTGAACACGTAATCTACCTTTTGGTTCGCGTCTCCGTAGCCTCCTGCACTAGCCATTATTCAGGTAAAATGCACTTTCTCCTTCTTTCTCACTCCCAAATTTGTGGCTCTTTCTATTTCAAATTGAGCTTGGTCGGCGATTGATTAAGCAACTGTTTAATGCTTGGATTAATTTGGAGGATTATTAAGTGTGGAACAGAGTAGTGTAGTGGGATTCATATGACACGTGGCGGTATGGTATTGGGCGCTGGTCCCTATAAGCTTCATTTATTTTATTGAGAATAAAATAAAATAAATTTGTGTAGCGAAAGGGAGGGAAGAATGGTTGAAAACAGCTTTATTACAGTGATAACAGTTGTCAAAAAGTGTGGCCAGCGAATGTCTTTGCATTGGGTGGAGTTATCTCGTTGATCGTCTTGACGGCAATTCCTTTTTTATATTATTTTTTCAACGTACACACATGGGAAAGG